TGTACGAGATGAAATTTTGAACAAGCTTTCGGAATTTCAGGAGCGCGATTCGGGCTTTGCATTACGTAGAATACTTTATTTGGAAATTAATATAAATAAAATGGAAATTGGAAACGGGTCATCTTACATTAAATTACCTATTGAAATTTCAAAGAAACGGGCTTGCATCAATATTAAGAATTCTGATGAAGCTTGCTTCTATTGGTCTGTGGTATGTGGTCTCTTTCCTTCCTCTAACCATAAGGAGCGAACATCAGCATACCCATATTATAGGGCTGTTTTGAATATGCAAAATCTACCTATCCCAATACCCCTCAATCAAATTCAAAATTTTGAAAAGTTAAATAATGTTTCGATTAACGTTTACGGTTTGGAACTGAATGTCGCCAATAATAAACAATTTTATACAGTAGCACCGGTTAGATTAACAAAACAAAAACTAGATAAACACGTCAATTTGCTGATTGTTCAAAACAAATATTATCCAAAATTAGACGATTATGATGTTGAAACACCAGCAGAGCTACAAGATGAGGAAATCAAGTATCATTATTGCTATATTAGCAACTTGTCTGGACTTGTATACTCACAGCTCAGTAAACATAAAACTAAGAAATTTATTTGTGATAGGTGTTTAAATTATTTTGCATCTGAACAGCGCCTAATTGAACATGAAAATTTGTGCTCCAGATTAAATGATTACAAGATTTCTTTCCCCAAATATGAACACGTTGAATTTCGAAATTTTACTTACAAACAACACACACCTTTTGTCATCTATGCTGATTTCGAAAGCATACTTCAAAATTTAAACAACAGTAAAATTTCGGAAAAAACTCGTAAATATCAGAAACATGTTCCATTTAGTGCTGGATACTACCTCAAATGTGGGTATGATGATTCCCTATCCTATTTCAAAAGTTATCGAGGGGTAGACTGCATGCAATGGTTTGTTGAACAAGTGTCTCAAATGTCGAAATTTATTTATTCAAAATTTAAACATATTGTACCTCTTATTGCTAGTGAAACTATTAGCTTGTCCAATGTGTCGTCGACACATTGTCATATTTGTGAGAAACCTTTTACAAACAGCGATAAGATTGTTCGTGATCATGATCATTTTACGGGGAAATTCCGTAATTTTGCGCACCAATCCTGCAACCTAAACTATCGTAAGCATTTTATAGTTGCAGTAGTTTTCCATAATCTCTCCGGCTACGATATTCATTTCGTAATCCGAGAGCTTGCTAAGCATGGTCACGTGAGCGTCCTACCCGTCAACAAAGAAAAATACATTTCGATCACCTACAGGGAACCTAATAATGGGCTGCGTTTCAGATTCATTGATTCACTAAGATTTTTGGGTGCCTCTTTGGACGAACTTGTCTCCACGTTGAATAAAAAGGACTTGCTGATATTGAAAAAAGAATTTTCAGACTTGGAGCCGTCAAAATTTCAACTATTAACTCAGAAAGGTGTCTTTTGTTATGATTATATCAATGATTTTTCAGTATTAAACGAAACTTCTCTACCTTCTATCGATAAATTCTACAACAAGTTAAATGATGAAGATTTAAGCGATGAAAAGTTCGCTCACGCTCAAAATGTCTGGCATTTGTTCAAAATTCAAAATTTAGGTGAATATTCTGATCTCTATTTGAAAACTGACATTTTACTTTTGGCCGATGTTTTTGAAAATTTTCGTAAAAACTGTATAGCTACACACAAACTAGATCCAGCGTGGTATCACAGCATGCCTGGTTATACTTGGGATAGCATGCTCCAATTTACAAAATGTCGTTTAGATATTCTTCGGGACATTGATCAGATAATGTTTGTGGAGCAGGGAATTCGTGGAGGCATTTCCGTATGCGTGAATCGTTATGCTGAGGCCAATAACAAATATATGGATACATATGATGAGTCAAAAGAATCAAGGTATTTACTCTATCTCGACATGAATAATTTATATGGAAAAGCAATGACCGAGCCCCTACCTTACGGTGGTTTTGACTGGGTAGACGGAGACGACGACGACCTTAAAAATTTTGATGTTATGGCAGTGGAAGACGATTCTCCAGAGGGCTACATCCTAGAAGTAGATTTGGAATATCCTAGGCATTTACATGATTTGCATAAAGATTTACCATTCGCGGCAGAACATCGTAAGCCGACAAATTCAAAGTTACCGAAATTAATGACCACGCTGTACGACAAGAAAAACTATGTTATACATTATCGAAATTTAAAACAGGCACTGAAACATGGCCTAGTACTGAAGAAAATTCACAAGATTTTAAAATTCAAGCAGTCAATGTGGCTCAAGCCCTATATCGAGCATAACAATAACTTACGTAAACAGAGTAAGAATGACTTTGACAAAAATCTTTTCAAATTGTTCAATAACGCGGTGTTCGGAAAGACTATGGAAAACATACGGAATCATAGGATTGTGAAATTTGTAAAGACGTGGGAAGGGCGGTATGGTGCGAAAAATTTAATATCTAGTCCAAGATTTCATAGTAGAACCATTCTAGATGATGATTTATTGTTGGTTGAGTTGAAGAAAGCCGAACTATTTTTCAACAAACCATTGTATGTAGGCATGTCGATTTTGGATATTTCGAAAATATTCATGTATTCATTTCACTACGACTACATGTTGTCCAAATTAGATTCAGAAAAATGTCACATTCAATATATGGACACCGACAGCTTCATATATGACATCGAAACCGATGATGTATATGAAGAAGTCATCAAAGCCGACTTGTCTAAATTCGATACCTCAGACTACCCTCCAGATAACCCATATAACATACCGCAGGTCAATAAAAAGGTTTTAGGTTTAATGAAAGATGAACTGAATGGTGATATCATGACTCACCAAGTAGGCCTGAGATCCAAAATGTACAGCTTCAAGACCCTTAAGGGAAAAGTTGTGAAAAAATCGAAAGGCGTCAAAAAAAATATAGTCAAGTATAAAATTGCATTTGAAGATTACGTTGATTGTTTGAAAAATTTTAAAGAAAGTACCGTAACGCAGAGAACCATTCGGTCTTTTCAACATAATGTGTTCAGCATTGAACAATCAAAAATTGCACTAAGTCCAGCTGACGATAAACGTTTCTTAGTGCCCAATTCCTTCAATACTTTTCCCTGGGGGCATTATAGTCTTGATGTTGGTGACGAATTAAAAGTATAGTAATGTTGAGCATCAATATGTTTTCTCTCTTTCTCTCTCTCTCTAACGCGTATATGTATGTACTTTGTCAATTAATTTATAAGGTCAATATTAATAATTGTTTGTATATTTGGAATAATGTATCATTTTATCTCTCTCTCTCTCTTACTCGTATTATGTATATATTATGTTAATTAATCAATTAGGTCACTAATAATAATTGTATATTTGAAATAATGTATCGTTCTATCTCTTTCTCCCTAACTTGTATTATGTATATATTATGCCAACTAATCAATAAGGTCACTAATAATTGTATATTTGAAATAATGTATTATCTATCTCTCTTTAACTCATATTATGTATATATTATATCAATTGATCAATAAGGTCACTGATAATTGTATCTATTTTAATAATCTATAATTTTTTAATAAACAGTTCAATATTTATTGTATTTGATTTTTATTTCCCCGACAGCATCCTGTTATACGACACAAAAAACTTGACACTATGTACTCTAAATGACTCCACGGATGTGACCCAGGTCGCAATTACGTCATCACAGAACCCGAACCCTGAATCGAACTTTGCACTCTGTACTCTAGATGACTCCACGGACCCGCACTGACGTAACCCACGTGACCCAGGTCGCTATGACGTCATCACAGAACCCGAACCATAATTAACTATACGTAGCGATTTCGAAACGACTCGGAACAATCCCTTCCACGCAAACTCCATATTACAGGAACCTGTAATTCCCCGAACCATAATTAACTATACGTAGCGATTTCGAAACGACTCGGAACAATCCCTTCCACGCAAACTCCATATTACAGGAACCTGTAATTGCAAGAATTCACCGCACTCTCTCGCTATGACGTCATCACAGGTGACAGATGACGTTTGACAGATGACGTTTGACAAATGACGTTTGACAGGTGACGTTTGACAGGTGACGTTTGACAAGATGGCGGGAAAACGTTTCCCCCCACCCCTTTTTCTGGTACCCATGATAAAATCCGGGGAGCCCCTTTTTTGGGGTCGCAGCCCTGTGGGCCCCCTTTTGGGGGGCGGAGCCCTACGGGTTCCAACTACAGCATCCTGTATTACGAACTTCACACTATGTACGCTAGATGGCGCCATGACGTTTGACAAGATGGCGCCGACGATGCATCCACCTTCGTGTCAACGGCGGCGCATCCACCACGTGTCAAGAATGAAAGATTGAGGTTATGGTCGGATTTTTATGCTTGAATCCCCTTTGACTATCTACTGACCTACTATATCAACGTTAAATTCTATTCTCGAAAATTCGGTGGATTTCGAGTATCAGAGGGCTGATCAATAAGTATGGAAGACGGGTTTAAGGCTAGCTCTAGGGTTTGGGCGTTTTTGGAGAGTTATTCCTGAGGACCCTCAGATAATATCCAAAACTTAGATAAAAAGTGATTTCTGCAACGTCGCACTTCGTATGTATATAACGTTATCCAAAAATTGGTTTAGAACATTTTGAATCGCGGCTCGAATCATTCTAACCTGCGAGAAAACACCTCAATACAACCGGCATTTGAAATTTTGAGGTCTCAGCTCGGGCAAGACAGAAACTTGTAAAATGTTGACACAAATGGCGAATTAACTTTACCAAATTCAAACTTTAAATCGTTATTATTATCGAGTGGTTTGATGATTAAAATATATTAGTTGATATCCTTTGATTTTAAATAGGTACTTATGTATTGTAATTTATTATGCTTAAAGTTACCACACTTTAACCTCTATATTCAAGATACATAATATACTTACTCTGCAGGTGCTACAGCTGTAGACGCATTAGCCATAGGCTACCGGACAATTCTTCTAGACGATTGTAGTAGAGGTGTGGATCTAGCTGATATAGAGAAAACAAAGAATACCGTTACCACAAATAGTGGCGTGATAGTGAATTCCTCACAGGTGAAAGCTATGGTAGAGGGTAGAGACCGCCGACCGGAATTGGGTTACAAGTTAGCTATGGAATTGAAAGACACTTTGAGAGAGAAACTCCAGCAACATTCAGGCTAAAGTAGATTATTCTTGTAGGTGTAGTTAATGCATAAGCTATGCATAAAAAAGGATCTAAAAATTTTAGGTAAACCCATTCCCATAAATCAAAAATTTATTTGCCAAAATTTGTTTCTTCGTTCCTTTGACGTCACTCTTCTCTGATGGGATGATTTAAATTTCAAATTTGTGGGACAAAAAAATCATGCATAGGTAAAGGGTGTTCCAATAAGAGATTCCGAATGTTTTTTTCAATTCAAACGAAAAGCAAACTAGGAAACATTTAATACTTTATAGCAATAAGTAACATGAGGATCGTTTACAATTATACGTGAAACACAATATCCAACAAATGGCCACCGCGACTCCTCTCACAGCACACAATTCTTTTTCCAAAATTTTCGATCACATCTGTGCACATTTCCGGTGGTATCTCACGAATAATGCTCCGAATCTCATCTTTCAACTCTTGAATTGTTAGGCGATCGTTCACATACGCTTTACTTTTGATGCAACCCCACGAAAAAAAGTCTAGTGACGTTAGATCGCAAGATCTAGGCGGTCAATTAACATTCCCATTTCTTGAAAGAACTTTACCTTCAAACCGTGTTTGCAATAGGTCAATGGTTTTTCTTGCTGTGTGACATGTTGCGGCGTCTTGTTGGAAAAGTAAAGCGTATGTGAACAATCCCCAAACAATTCAAGAATTGAAAGATGAGATTCGGCGCATTATTCGTGAATCGTGAAATACCACCGGAAATATGCACAGATGTGATCGAAAATTTTGGCAAAAGAATTGTGTGCTGTGAGAGAAGTCGCGGTGGCCATTTGTTGGATATTGTGTTTCACGTATAATTGTAAACGATCATGTTACTTATTGCTATAAAGTATTAAATGTTTCCCAATTTGCTTTTCGTTTGAATTGAAAAAAACATCCGGAACTTATTTCTACCTCTTAAGGGATTTGTTCAAGAGATTTTCTAATTCTTTGTTCAAAATCGCAGAGATATTTTCTCCTATCCCCTCACCCTTAAAATGGTTTTAGATTCATGAATTTTATAATTTTGGATTGTTTAGTTGGTTACATAAAACGTTAAGATTAAAAACGATAATATAATAAAAATGTAGTACCTACTATTAAGTAGGTAGTTACCTATTGATTTCAACCATGACTGAAATGGATAAGAACAATCAAATATTTATTTGAAGCAATGGGTGCATTTCCTCCATTTCTTAATTTAAAACGCATATTTTATTGTAGTTTTCGAGTTTCCATCACAGCTGCAATGGAATATGGCAGCTGCATATTCAATTTTGACTGTAGTATGGAAAAATTGGTTAGGTATGCGGACTGCCCTCGATAATAGACCTGCTAAAGTAAACGATGCATGAACGTATGGTTATTAGAAGGTATTCAGTACCTTTTGAGGATAAAATATACCCATATGCAAGCCTGTAGTTCAAATACGAATGTATTGTCATCCTCCATTTTACTTATTTATATTATTACTATATTTGTGTTATTCTGGCGGTGGCTATAATACTAAAAGACCGCAGGGTATAATATTGAAATTCTATTAAAAAAATTGATTATTATAAATTATTGTTACTGTTAATATTACTAACTTGTTACAACATAATAATATATATATGTATATACGATGTTCATGCTCCATTGTATTTCAAACACAAAAAATTGACAAAGATAATATTATTAAAGAAATTTTATGTTATGCAAATGTTGTTTCATTGGGTAGAAAACAAATACGAATAAAGTTTCTTGTTATACAGAGCTTACTGTGTCAATAAATTATTCATCCCTTCTTTCCCCAGGACATTGAAAGTCTTCCTAAAAATGATCAAATAATAATTGATATTTAATACGTGATATTTCCTGAATGTAAGAACTTGATTTAAAGCACAATGGTTTTGTAGAACTTACACAAATAATATTCTAAGGGCCGGTTTATTCACCTTCCGATGAACTGTCAGGCATGCAATCTGACGGATAAAAACGCAATCGTATAATCTCATTGGTCGGCCAGTTATCCGCCGACTAACAGAATTATAGAACGGTAAATTTATCTTGCATATTGTTACCAGTAAGTTTATCTGAAGATGAATAAACCGGGCCTAAATAAATAAATTTAATTTAATGTACCTACTAATTATATTCTCGTTTCAGAACACTTACGATCTATGTAACCTTAGTGTTTTTTTTGGATTTCACGCTTTTTTAATACCTACCTACCTAGAAAAATATCGATAGCCTAATGAAGGCGTGATTCCAAACTGGATTACATTTTTTGAAATACTTCCGAAGGTATCTATATTGTATTTTTTGGGCCGTGGTCCGTTGCCACATTTTCTAGCAAGTCATTTGCGAGTTTAATTTTTCCAATTAAATTTGCACGCAAATGAATGTTGAAAATTGTTCAAAATACATAATCAAAAAGTAGGATTATATACACTAAATAATTAATGGAATTCCCCAATGTTATGTTTTTAGTCGCAATCCTATAAATTTAAAATCTGTACTCATTTGCGATTGTGTTTCTTGAAGCGGGGAATTGAGTTGAGAGCCAACATGTTCAGACAGATAGATACATTAGATCTAGATACATCATCGCCATGAAAATTTGATGAAATGCAATTATTGAACCAAGACCTTTCAGAAACATGGAATCGCAATGGAAATGTCTAAATGGCTTCTGAATAATAGAAACTCTAGGAAATGGGACAAGCTGTATTTAGAAAATTGTATTGCATTATATAAAATAATACAATGCAAGAAATAAAGAAAGAGTTCGAAGGCGTTGTCAGTTTCTTATCGCTTATGGTTATTACATATATTTGCGTAATTTGTTTAAAAAAAGCTTGAATTTGTTTGGTGACAGATTGGACTTGAATGTTCGAAAAAACACCCTGGAGCATTGGTGTTCTGGTACCCCAGGGTAGTGTGGGATTCCGGTGCCAAGACCGACCCACCATAACCCTTCCCGCACTCTTCCTGGAACCGCTGTTAAGTATTAATTCAGGGACTTCGGTTCTCTATCCTATCTGTGTCTCTCTGTCTCTCTCCTTAATTTCCTCACGTTTCATTATATTTCTCAGCAATTCCATGATTGCATCCAAATTCTTCCCCCCCCCTTTTTCAAAAGCATTTCTCCGATATTCCCACCTTTCCTGCCGGTCCGTAATCAACGGGTCTTTTGCGCTTGCTCTGCTTTCACATCTTTCCCTTCTTGTCAGGGGCCCAATTCTCTTCTCAGGGAGAGGAGAGCTCCCCGAGAGAACAAATTTTTCGTCTTTATCATTCTTGTTCACTTTTCGATAACGTTGACAAGGACAAAAGATTCGTTCTATCGGGGAGCTCTACTCCCTGGCCCGAGGATCCGGCCACACAGGTCGATCGGCGCTAGCGACGCCTCTACCGAAACGGTTCTTTATGCCGAATTAATTCCAAGGGCCAGTCGTCTGCTTACCCTTTCCAATGTGTTCATGTATTCATAGCACCTTATGGCCGAACTCCAAATTAGGAGCAGCGTACTGGACTGCTGAGATCATAGCACTGGCCAGTATTCTTCTTCCGTTACATTTTTGCACCTTCATATTTACCATTATCCTCATTAGCAAGTTTAACATCTTGTTTGCTTTTTCCACTGTTTGAATAACATGTTTTGTCATTCTCAGGTCCTTGTCCAGGTGTACACCCAAGTAATTTACTGCTCTTTGGCTATTAATTCGTCGTTAACATGACGAAGGGGCTTATCTCAAAAATTCTCGAATTTGAGTTAGGCCCATCATAGTCGCTATTTATAAGTATATTTTCATTATGACAAAGTGGTGTAGCTTTTTTGCTACATTATTACGAGATAGACGACGGGCGTAACTCAAATTTATAATCGCAAAATACGACTAATAGGCGTAAATGGACTTAGCCTGTTCGCCGTATTACACTATATGAACGAATAAGTTACGCTCTATATGGATCATGTGCGTATATCGTTAAGTATGAGTTTATTTTTTCATAAAAAAAAAAATATATATATATATATATTTCAATATTTTTTGTCAAAATTTTTGGTTTTTGCAACCACGGAATGAAGGACTGAGTAAACGTGGTTCATGTGAAATTTCGACATGCTTGTATTTATACCTGAAAGAACTTGACACCGAAGGTATAACTACCGTTTCTCTATTTTCCGATGGATGTAGTGGTCAGAATAACTGTAACTCTGTAACAGATAGAGCTCGTTATCCCTATCGCTATGGCACTTGCTGTCTTCTTCCCTCTTTTCGAAATTAATACAGAGGGGACGTCGATAGAGATAGAGAAAATATCTCTATTCGTTACAGAATTTCAGCCCAGCTTGCCTCAATCTTGATTTGCCCAAAATATCTATAAAGAAATACAATGCCCTTATGGCATTGTGTAGTGGAACAACTCCTATCATTAAACAACCAGAACATATTTCTTTCTACCAGCAGTTGCCACACTTAGGCACACTATAAGGTCTTTATATTAGTTTGTAATGAGTGATTATTCTCTTAGAAGTTAATGTCAGTTAGGTTCGTTTAATTTTTTGCAAATTTAGTAGAATAAGAATAATTGTTTATTTGCTTTCATCTCACACTACTAACTTATGTAGGTACCATTGGTTTAAGTTTTTAGTTTTTTTAATATAGCTTTGCGTGCATTTTATTAAAAATAAACGCTATTTTTTCTTATGTGTTTGTTGCTGCTTAGAAAATTATTCGAATCAATGCTGATGTGAAAGTACTTTCTTCCTCAATATAATAAAAGTATTTCAACAAAAGGTTTAGGCGACGTTCCGTAAGTTAACCAAGATTCTTGGTTTTTCCGGTTCCCGTTCCGTAACATAACCACTCTCGAAATCTGGTTAGGTTATGAAACGCGGTTCCACACAACCGCGTTCTCAGGAACCAGACTGTCACCATAGACGAACCGCTCCATACCAATCGGTAACTCTGGTTAAGATACGGAACGCCGCCTTAGTTAAGTTCATATGTCTTAGAAAACTTATTTCAAAATGAGACGAAAGGGCGTATCTCTTCTAAGGGCAGTTTCAACCCTTTTGCTAAAACCAGAAATAATGAGACTTAACTCTACTTTATATATTGGCATTGATGCAATATTTTATGTTATCAGCATTTTTTAAGTAACTTGCAAAGTTAAACAAACCCAGATCAAAGATAATAAAAATCTTTACATTGGAATTACTCAAAACTTGAAATTTTGAGATACGCCTCTTCG